TGAAATAGGCCGCCGCCATTGCTAGCTGACTTCACGAGCCTTGCTCCATCCTTGTGGCCAAGTCCTTGAATTTCGATTTCTCATTCCATCACAAGATGCCGACCCAGCAAGCAACGAAGAACAAGAAGACTCCGAACCGAACGCCCGCGACGATCTCCTCCTCGGGGAAGTAGATATCCAACAGCCAGGCCGGCGAACCTACCCAGATTAAAGTCAGCACAGCTCCCGACGCGGAAACCCGCCAAGAATTCCGAGAGAGAAAACAAACCGCAGACCGGGCCTTGGCCGTCACGGTAGCCCAGGATCAGCAGGATCAGCCAGACCAGAATCTTGCCGAAGGCCATCGTGAACCACATGGTGAGGTACAGGGCGAAGAGCCAGAAGTAGGTCTCGGCGACAGCCGTGATCCATCTCTTGAGGGTTGGTAGCATGGTTGAAGTCATCCTGATGTTGTGGGACAGTTGATTGCTGGTGTGAGTTGTTTTAGTGAAAATGTTGTGTTTGGAGAGGGATGGTGAGAAGGAGCAAAGAAGGACTTGGGTTTTAGCAAATCTAGAAAGAACAACAAGGATGGGATAGGTCAACAGTCAGTAGTGCGTTCACGGCCATTCACTCAGGTCTCGACAGAGTCCTCGTCGACTTCAGAAGCTGGTACGCGGACTTGATTCAGCTATGGAGAAGACATCTTGCGGACCACAAGCTTGATTTGCAGACGATTCCACCCACTCAAGCTGTACCATCACACCCCTGGATCTCCAATCGCCAACCAAACGCCTTAGAAAAAGAGACCCCTCATGAAGAATCGCCATATCGTGCCGAGGAGGGGACTGGTAGAGATGAGTCCACCGATCCAGTCGCAGAACCAAACCCCGAGCATGTCTGGGCTTCTGTGTCAGTCTTCATAGCCAGCACCAAGGCAATTGTTTGTGAAGCCTCATATTCTTACCTGCAAAGGGACCCAGGCGTTCAATAATCATGCCCAGGCGCTGAAGCCCCGTGAGGATACTTCTGGCGGGAACGGAGCCGCCGGACAGAGACTGCCACCAAGCGGCCATGAAGCCTGAAGCAACCATCAGCTCATACTTTTTCAATCTTGCAAGAATTCAAGAGGAAAGCTTACCAGCGATGAAATGAAGAGGAATCTCAACGAGAATCGATCCAAAGAGGAAGTTGGATATCCATCCCTGGACCCAGTTGGCAGCCAGGTCATGAATCCGCCGGATCATAGTGTGTAGAGAAAGAGGTGTTGGCTTCGTTGTGAAAGGAGGTTTTGTTTTTGTTTGCGGAGAGATTGTAAGGAGGAAAAGGCTGACTGGGTTGGTCGTGGGTGGGGAGGCAGCTTTTTGTCGGGGTGAAACTGCCGTCGAGCTCTTGTGTCCCGAAACCAAGGACCACCTTTCTCCTACTCGAGCACCACATCCAACGGCGCGTCAAAGTGTTTGTTGCACATCTGTCGTTGTCGTTGGCTGTCGCGATAAAGCATATAGAGATCAATGCAAATAACACAGTAGAAGGAAGGCGGAAGAGCCAATGGTAAGTACTTGGGTGGGAAGTCGGGGTATCGTTCTAATATCTCAGCATGTACTCGAATCACCCATCGTAATACTCAAAACTTACCCACCGTCAAGCACAAAAGGCGTAAGCCATACGAGATTCTTTGACACACAGCCAGATCAGCCTGTTCGGACGCTAGGATGGCGGCTACCAATCCGACCGCCAAGCGGCGCGCTACTTCTTGTAGGGGCATCATATTCAGGGTCTGTTCTTGTTTGCGTGATAAGAGAAGGTTGGCTTTCCATGCGGAGTGATGATTCTGAATGGTTGGTGGCCCATTTGCGCAGCTGATTGAGCTTGGGGGAAACCTCATACTTATAAAAACGTTGCAGGCATGTTCAAAAGGACATTCTGAGTTTCTAGGATCATCTTGATGTAATTCAGGGTACTTGCAGTTTTGTCTCCGCTAACTCACTCCTCACACATCTCTATTGGTCGTTGAGAGAAAGAGGAGGACATTTCGCGACGGTGCCTCTACCGACAAGCGAGACAACACAAACGATCCCCTCATGGCTGTCAGAGACATACATTTCGTCCGTCTCAATCTCAGACCCGCCCTGACAAAGCATATGGCCACAGTCTCCCCCACTTGACTATCACACAACCTCTAGAGTTTCGGGAACAGGCAGTCAAACGACGCACCATCCAGCCCGTCAACTTGACGTCTAGGACTCATCCCAGAATCAGGTCATGGCCCAAGCCTGCAAGAAGGCGAAGAGACCCCCGGCAGGAACAGCTGCGCCATAGACAACGGCTTGGATCATGGCTGCAGCAGAGCCTGTGAGAGAACTATTAGACATTCCGTCCTGAGGATAAACATAACTGGGCGGGCATTACTTACCAGCGATGGGCCCAAGTGGACCAAATCCCATTGCGGCAAGAACCGGGCCAACGATGAAACTCAACAACATAGTGCCTGGATGTCAAAACGTGAGCGGGAGGCTCAACTTCGAGTGTGAAAAATGTTGCAGACTGATCTGAGTATCGTTCAAAAATATTAGGGTGAATTCGACGGGAGATGTGGTGGAGGGGAAGAAAGGAGGATATATGTATTCATGTGCGTGTCAGCCAGTATTGAAGGGCCCGCGGGCGGAGGACCATCCCTTGATGCAACACTCCCGAATTTGAGCATGGTCAAAGTGTAAAAAGTCTTTTATGATATGAAATGATATCTGGTTCGGTGGTAGACGCAGGCCGCATTCTGGGCCAACAGGGAATGCAGGTGTGAGGTGATGAACAGGGAGAGGCCCAATGCGGCCGCGTCAATGCAGGAGGCCGACAAGATCAAGCTTCCGTCCCCAACCAGCCGCACGAGTGGAAGTCGGTCGAAACATATGGATATGTCTGTTTGCTCAAAGTACGCTCCTGGTCGCTTGAACCTGTCATGAAATTTTGAGATCACCAGTTCCCTGCTGTGAGCTCCACAGACCTGCCCGGTTGTTCACATTTTGTGCCGTGGAAGTCGTGCTAGACGCTCTTGATTCCTTTTCACCATCGCATAAAACAAACGGTTCTCCATTTTCTGGTCTAGGCGACTAAGAATCTTGCCATTGAATGTGTTTGGGTACTTCTATGCATCTGCTCTGACATGCGACTGCCTCATTGCCGCAGAATAACCATGACAATCCGACGGGCATGTGGCGAGAGAGCCTGGAAAGACTCAGATAAAGACAGCAAGCGCAGTAGTCTGTTCGCACAAATTAGAATGTTTGAGGTAATTCCTCTTGATTCAAGATCTGACACTTACTACAAAGCCAACAAGCGCAAACACCAGAGGGACCAAGGCAATTATGATCCTCATAATACCTAGGATTGTAATCATGATGGTATAAAGATCGATGTATGTTTAGTTTATGAAACCGATTGGGATTCGTTCATAGGGCTTCAGTTCAAGTTGTTTGACATATGGGAATGACAGGTTATATAGCTCATGGGGCTATTGTATAAGAAGCTTATCATAAACTAACCGTCTAGTAGTTCAACACCGAAGACTTTCACATGCAATGTGTAATGCCACACTTCACGGGGTTAAGATTGACCGGCAACACGTTGGACGCATTCGCATACAGTCGGAGGCCCACCAGCAAACTTTCAGCAGGTCGGACTGCGAGATAAGTCTAAAGACGTCGATGAATGTTGCACACCAAGCTTTAGTCTGATCTTCTCTGTGAATCTAGACGTTGCTCAACAGGGTCTGAAACCCTTTCACAGATCCTCCCTCCCAGCCATCACAGTCTGGCTCTCAGCCGCACCATGTTCCACGCTGAAGCAAGGAGTCAACTCCAAGTCATGCCGAGGCGTTGGAAGAACGAGAAAAGGGAGCCCTTGGGGACGTATCCTGCATACCGAGCTTGCCACCACGAGGCAAAGGTGTCTGACACAGGTCAACTCCATCCCACCAGGCTTGCATAAGCGATCTTACCGGCTACCGGACCAAGTTCACCAAAACCCAACGCCTCAATGACCCAAGGGGCGATGATGACCAATATGCCAATGGCAATGATGGTGACGAGGACAGGGTGCTCCTCCACAAAGCCGAAGACCTGCTGCGCCAAGTCGGTTGACTTATCCATCGCTTCCTTGACAACCTGGCCGAAGGTATCACGGTGGCGGACAAGACCTTCGACACCGCTGAGGATAAATTTGGCGAGATTCTCGGTCCAAGAGTTCGTCGTCACGATGTTTCGGAGTCGTCGCTCCAGGTCCTTGCCTCCCTTCTCTGCTGTGCGAAGGATGTCGATGAACTCGGATGCGGCCTCCTCGCTTGATCTTACCGGTTCCTTCGAGACGACTCGGGACGCCTTCTGATCGATCGTAGGCTGCGCATCTTTAGCGATCGGAGCTCGGCCAAGGAGACACTCAAGAAAATTATTGCAGTCCATCTTATGCCTGTGTGACGCGAAAATCTTCTTGAGAGTTGTAGGAATTGGGCGCTGCGATGCTCAATGGAATCTGGAGTGTAAATTTAAAAGGCACGCCAGTGTTAAGCACAGCGGAATATGAGGACAAGCTGAGCTTTGAACGACTTTCTGGCAGGGTGGACAGCCATGTCGATCTCGTCGGCCTCCGACATGAAGTCTGCCCTATTGGACCAGTAGCCGTTGCTGCGCTGCCTACCCGTCTCATCATCTGCAGTCCTTGTTGGCCCAACATATGACCGCCACCCATCATAACCAATCCAAGCGTCAGTATGCCGGTTGGACGATGATGTCCCAACCAACACAATACCACCTCGGTCCCTTCTTGCACATTAGACAGCACATGCCCTGAGAGGCCTCATAACCGCCTGCAAAGCTGTTGCTGCTGCTGCCTTAGTGCACAGCCCCTATTGGCCAGGCCGACCGACCACACCAACAGTTGTCAAACGTGCCAAAACTCAGCCCAGGCCATCAATGAAGCCATCACAACAAGACAAGAGTCAGTTCGGGCAAAAAGCAAAAGAAATGGGCCCTAACCAGGGATCGAACCTGGGACCTCTCCCAGATTGAATCGTCAAATGACAACCCTAAGGGAGAATCATACCGCTAGACCATCAGGGCTGATATCTCAAGCTTGTTGCTTGATGATAGTTGCGGCGAATTTGTCACTTATAGATGACTCCTCGTGTTGTGGGCGCTAGGTAGCCGACGACAAGCGACCCACACGGGACGGTGCCCACTCCACCAAGCCCACACCCACCAAATTCCTCGGCACCGCACAACTTTACTGTCATTGATATTCAGCTGGTATGACGTGTCGCGCAATGTTTTGCAGCACTGCAGTGCGATGTAACAATATTTGCTTGTTTACAGATGTCCATCATCAGAGACGGTACAACTGAACCATCTGCATTTTGATACAACCCAGAAGCCAAACACTGCAATACGAGCTCCGATTAGAACGGCCGTGGTGGAGACGACTCCCACTCGCAATGGCGGCGGCATTCTCCAGGCCCAGATTTCTCAGCTGCTATCATGATAGCACCACAGACCACAGGATCTGAATCCTTCAAGAACATGTGGGCTAAAACATATACGGCTTCAATGAATCTCCATGGTCGGGGACGGAAATCGAATTTCCTTCCCAATTCCGTGACAATCGCCGCAGCGGAAGCTGTTGATACTTACACAATTACATCGAGCTTTGAGTCATCGCAAGAGGGAACCGGAAGCTGTTGTACATGATTTCGTACTTTTTGAAGATGAATATCAAACGTATCTGAAGCCCAGGTTGCTCAAGCTTGCCAAACTGCTCCGCCTCGGAAACGGACATCACATCCGTTAGCTCCGCTACAGCTCGTTCAATGCGGGTAGGAAGCATCCGCTGATCCACATGGTACTGAGGATGGTGGAGAACAGCCTACCTGCTTCTCTGAACAAATCAACGAACATTTGAACATAGTCCAAGGTAAGCTTCCTTCTCAGATGCGAGGGTACTCTCGGTAAGAAGACGCAGTCTCAAATCACAGCAAACTCAAAGTCGTTTGGTTTCTTTTCAGTCTTCATTTGGCACATGGGCAAAGACCCCGGAACACACGTAGTGCCAACTTGCTTCACCACGGGAGGTTCACAATCGGACGTGACTCCGGGGCGTCATCCACTGGGACCCTCACCGCCCAGCGGGCCGAGGGCAGTTCTGCGTATGCCCACTCCAGGGATACCTTTGCCTTCTCTAGATTGAGATGTCCTGGGCTTTACAAGTGACTAGTCGTGGGATCCCCATGGCTCTAGGCACCTACATTAGCCATCCCTGTCAACTTGTTCCCTATGAGGCGACAGATTCGATATCCTATCCACATGATGCTGGGCTCCTTTTGCCTTTCGACAACTCCAGTCACATATCTTCTATCTCAGCACCTTATCGTATTTGAGCAGCAGCCGACACAACCGGAAGGAAGCTCCGTGTCGTGTTCAGTGGGTTAAGATCCTTCTAAACCGGGGTCAAAACTCTAAAGCACCCTGCCATCTATTGTTATCCCTTGAAGGATGTGGCTTCATTCTGATCCTTCGTCAGCAGCTAGATGGTCGTGAAAAGCCTTGTATCTTCAACTGAATCCACCGAAACTCGTGAAGGTCTGGAAATGGCCCAATTCAAGTGGATCACCACATCTGCTTCTGGCAAATACTGGTGGAAGCAGCCGCAAAGCCACCGTCGCCAGGGCTAAGCTGCCGCTTCCATGGCCGTGATTATCATCTGCAGCTTCTCCGTGGAGTCGTTGTAAGCCAGATTCGTGGGTGTCATATGTGTCGTATATAACGGAACTTTCATCCCGCCCAGCTCAACTCTCCTCATCACAACTCTACGTCACCCAACTCAGCCTTCACATTTCAAGACTTTACCCATCAAAATTAGCCAATATGCGTGCCTCTTCATTCATCGCTCTCCTTTCCGCGACTTTCGCCGCCGCTGCTCCCAGCCCCGCTCCCTCCGGCGATGCTGAGTCTTACGTCCTCGCCGGGCCCCTCCCCTATGAGGAGCTCAAGGCCGAGGTCGCCAAGCTCAAGTCCGATAGCGATTCCAACGTCGCCCGTAGCTTGAACAAGCGTATTTGCGAGGGCGTATACATGTGCGACCTCGACAACTTCGGCGGCGAATGTTACTATGGATGCTACCCCATTAGCGTCGCTATATACCCTGACTCTTACTGGGTTTCCCGTATTAGTTCGGTTGGACCTGATTCAGGCGGGTGGTGCGATTTCTATGGGTGTGTTTCATGCTATATCTCTATAAAAAAGACCCTGTTTGGTTGTGTAAGTTCTAACATCTCACGATACAGCGGCAACGCATGTGAGGCAACTCGCTTCTCTCACCAGATCTTCAGAAACCCTGGTGGCAACTTGGCCGCTGGCATCAGCAACAACATGGGATGCTTCTACTGCAACCCTAACTAAATGATGGACGTGGAAAGGACTCGGACGGAAGCTCATGTTCTCGGGTCTTGTGGTGTCATGACTTCCGCGGCTTCATGTTCACTGTACATATTGTGTCTCTCACAGAAACAACCATCTCCGGTACACCATGTCCAGCAGTGACTGAGTTTGTAAACTGGGTATTTGATGTTTACGGACCAGCGTTCATTTTATCTTGCAGGGCCCAAAGTTGCTGGAAGCATTTATTTGAGAGGATGAAAAATGTCGAATAATCAGCAGATTCTTGAACGCTTATTCAGAGTTCATCGGTGCCAAGTGAGTTGCTAGCTGGTTACAGCGCTGACTCTCTCTCCTTGATCCCTGTGTGCAGCAGCCAATGGCGTCCACATCTCCATCCAGAAGAAGAAATCGGTCTCTGCGGCGCACTCCCCGTGCTACGTCAAACTTCGGATAACTTTGGGACTTTGGCGAAGTTATTCAGATCTCGAACAAACACAAGCGATCCTAGGGTTCGGGCGCTGAACATGGGGGGTTCTATGGTCCTGCAGAGGCCTGGCAGTTGCTGTCTCCGAACCCTGTCCGTGCCGCGTATCATCCGCCCAGAGAGCCTGTTGCGAACGTGGCAATCTGAGCCCTGCAGAGAACACACTAAAGATGTGCCGTGAAGGTGTATCCTTCTGCAACCCCTACCTGTTGAGATTCTCATTCGCACGTCACATTCGCAGCTCCACCCCAATTCTTCACGGTGAGAGCGCGCATGCATGTTGGGTGTGCGCAGGGTACCATTGGGCCGAGAGCAGGGGTCTTACTTGGACCGCTGCATGGTCTGATCGAAAAGCCGTCACAAAAGCCGTGATTGCCCCGCGTCCTTATTCTGACAGGTTTCCAGGAACCGGGTTTCTTCTCCTTCCTCTTCGTTATCTCCGTCATTACCATCGTCAAGCGTCAGTCGAATTGGCCAGCGTGCGCAAGATCTGAGCGATGTCTGCAGCACCACCCAGCAATCCAGGCTCGCCTGACTCGCCAAACCGCGAGCCTACGCCAGCAGACGCTGCCGTCCAGCCTGAAGTCCAGCCTGAAAACAACCCTGAAAATGTGCTCACCGCCGACGACACCGAGGAGGAAGAGGGCCAGTCGGTAGACGGAAGAGTACGCTTCACCTCGAATCTTTGGGAGTCGCACGTCCTGAGCTTCTTGGGGCCGAAGACGACTTTCGCCCAGTTCACTAACAAATAGTCTTGTAGAGTCTCGCTCCATCAACTGAGAGTCTCCGCCCATCCTTGTTCGACTACCGCCAGGAAAATGGCAGGACCTACCATCGATACAAAGATGGAAGTACGTTTGAATGGAACCAGCTGACATAGCTTGCACTGACACGGGTCTCAGAATACATTTTCCCCAACGACGAGCGGGAGAGCGACAGATTGGGTGAGATGAGTGAAAAGAAGACCACTCGGTGTTGTGCTAATGTAGAGATCAGATATGGAGTTTCAAATTTGGATGATTTCGCTTGATGACAGGCTTGGAGTTGCTCCACCTTGCCTGGGAAGCTCCAAACCCACCCGAGTTCTTGATATCGGGACTGGCACGGGTATCTGGGCCATGCACTTCGGAGACGAGCATCCCGAGGCCGAGGTACGTTGAATTCCAGCTGCATACGTGGTGTATACTAACCGGCGTCTCAGGTCATTGGTACTGATCTGTCCCCAATTCAACCGGGCTTGTATGTGCTGTGCCAGAGCTGCTCCCATCGCTGGATATAGAGCTGACGATGCCCAGTGTGCCTCCAAACGTCAAGTTCGAGATCGACGACCTCGAAGATGAGTGGACTTATTCTCTGCCGTTTGACTACATCCACAGCCGAGTCATGACATCGAGCATCGGGGATTGGTCGGTGTACCTGCGTAAATGCTATGAGTGAGTCTCGTGCCACCTAAACTCCAGGTCTACGCATATGATTAACCAAAGATGAAAAGAAACCTGAAGCCTGGTGGTTACGTCGAACTGCAAGAGATTGACCTCTTTGCCACATCCGACGACGGAACCCTCAAGCCAGAGAGCGCCTTGATGAGATGGTGCAACTTGCTCATGGAGGCGTCGGAGAAGTTCGGCCGCCCCTTCGTCCGAGGCCCTACGCTCAAGGACATCATGTCAGCCGCGGGCTTCGTTGATGTCAGCATCACGGTGCTGAAGTGGCCTACCAACTCGTGGCCGAAGGACCCCAAGTACAAGGAAATTGGCATCTGGGAGAATGCGAACATGTTGGAGGGACTCGAGGGATTCTCGATGGCGGCGTTGACCCGTGGCCATAACTGGAGTAGGATCGAGGTTGAAGTCTTCTTGGCGGAAGTCCGCAAGGACTTTAACGACAAGAGCATCCATGCGTACTGGCCCGCGTAAGTCTCACCTAATTCACCTTTTGAGAGGATATCGAGTGTAATGATTTCAGGTACTGCATTGTTGGCCGCAAGCCCGAAACTGTTTGAGAAGTCCGCTATAGCGCTAGGTTATGGTTCCATGAAAAGAGAAAACGCTGGTGTTGATTTCTATACCATTCAGTATCAAACTCGTTGCAGATTTTTTATCACAGAGCCTCACAAGACAGTGCGTAGTGTCTTGCTTCAACCATCGCTTCAATTATCACTCTAAAATAGACCGCTAGCCCTCAAACATTGTTGAAACCCAGCAGA